TTCTTCTTCTTCTTCTTCTTCTTCTTCTTCTTCTTTGTGGGTTTTGAAAAGGATGAGACTCTTCTTTTTCTTAGTGGGTTTTGTTAGGGTTTTTTAGAAAGGAGTTTTTTTTCGGGTGTGGAGAGTGTGCATTCAATAGGTGAAATGTTTAAGGATAATTTTGGTATTATTTAGAGGGAGAAAAGAAATTTTGGGAGTTTCAAAATTTTTAAGTGGAGGTCCAAAATAATTTATAAGGTGCTAATAGCACTAATCTTTTTTAAATATATATATATATATATATATTTATTACACTTTTACCCCCTATTTTAAAATGATAGTTTATCCTTCATTTATAGCTGTTACCATTTTCGTTGGATATTCATGCACAATATCACGGTGCGGAAATCACAAAATAACTTCTATCATCTTAGTCCATATTTTCTAATATAATATTTATATATAATTTGTGTTTGTTGATTTGATTTTAGAAATCCACTTTTTGTGTTGATTTTGGAGTCTTCGTAGAAAATATATAGGCAATTTGTGTTTTAATGTGTAAATAAAATGTGTATGTTTATAATTTTTGTTGGATGATTTTTATATATATTTTTAAAATAAAAAATTATAATTGTTTTCATTTTTTATTAAATGATTTGTGATGATATTTCAAAAAGCTTATTAATTGAAAAAAAAAAATTTGAAATTTCACACTTATAACTTTCATATTATAGTTTTAAGTCAATTTCCATTATTATATTCATTGGAAAACCCACTGAGAGTTTTGGTGATAATCACTTAGCCATCAAGATAATTTAAATAGTTCATTTTGTAGGATTAGTCAAGTAAAATACACATACAAAAACAGATCACATTTGTGTTGAAAAAATTTAGAATCTCTAATGTTTAAATTATATTCATTAATCAAATTTTTTATTTTATTTTATTTTTTTATGAAAATATGTAGCTCCTGAAGCCGGATCCTATAGTGGTTGCCACAAAACTACTGGCACGTAGAACAATGAAAGACAATGGAAAGCAATTCAACATGATAGCAGCTTCTTGGATACAGTTCATGATTCATGACTGGATTGATCACTTAGAAGATACCAATCAGGTATGTTCTTCAAATGTTCATATCAGTTATGTTCCAATAATTTTTTTTGATAGAAATATCCTTTTCTGATATTTTTGATCACTCTGGATAATATAATATATATGGGTGATGAATGATTGTTGTAGATTGAACTTACGGCACCAAGAGAAGTTGCAAATCAATGCCCACTTCAATCTTTCAAATTTTACAAGACTAAGGAGGTTTCGACTGGTTTTTATGACATCAAAAGCGGTTACTTGAACATCCGAACCCCTTGGTGGTAAGGCAATTAATTGGGAAATTTATCGATAGGGCTGATATACAAAATTCAAAACTTATCTAATCTTAAAATAAAATATTTGTACCAATTAATTAGTCTTACATATTTGTAATTATTACCAAAAAATCTAATTTTGTTTTTTTTATTTAATTTAAAGACATTGCTACATCCTATCACTACCGGACTTCCGTCAGGCGATTACCGAAAACTTACCGGAATGTTCAACATTATTGGAAAGTCTCCTGAGTATCACCGGAAACTCACTGGACTATCGCCGGAGTGTTCTAAACGTCACAAGAAGCTGCCGGAATATCTAGAATATTCGTTTGATGTTAAAACTATCACCAGATATTCACTGGAATGTCTAAAACATTGTCAAAAAAAAGATAATAATAATAAAATGAAAAAACATAACAAATGTACTAAATATTGATAAATTGAAAGAAGAAGAAAAACGTAACAACAACAAACAGTAACAATATGGGGAAAAAAACATATGTTATTTTCAATTTTTGTAGAATTTAAGAAAATAATCTCCAATATTGATCAAATTGAAAAACAAGCTTTGAAACTATAAAATGTTACAATTTCAAAGCATGATTCTATTAAGCATTTATCCTTATTAATCAAATTGAAAAATATGTTATGAAACTGCAAAATTTTATAGTTCTAAAGAAAATTATGTAATTGTAAAATTTTACAATTCTAAAGAATATTCATTTTAGCACCCAAAAAACTAAAACTGTAAAATTTTACAATTTTCACTTCCTATAACTAAAACTCAAAAATAATTTGTTCAGAATTTGAAAATTTTCTCCATTAAATACAAAAATAGAAGTGTGTAGTACAGAAAAAATTAAAAAAATTAAGAGATCGAATAAAAGAGACCTATAGAGAGAGAGACTTGTACTCCGGCAACTATTTTTAGTTTAAATCTAGCCAAATCTGATATAGATCTGAGTAAATCTACATCAGATTTAAATAGATCTACACATCTTCTTCGTCAAAAACTCATCTCCTTCACCGTTGGTGAGCGTGAAGTTAGGAGTCGGTACTCGGTGGTTGTCGGTAAACCTTAATCAATGGTAGTCGCCGGTGATTACAGATTAGAAAAAAAAAAGAAAATAAGAAAGGCATGGTCGTAGTCATCGTCGTCGCCAGATATTAGAGAAAGAGAGATAAAGAGAAGAAACAAGGTGCAGAAAAAGAAAAGAAGATAAATAAACACAGGACTTTTGGATTTATCTATAAAGTTTTGGAATTAAATAAAACACACTTTTCAAAGAATGACTCATGGGTAATTTTGCCCATTATAATTTAGGACTAAGCTTCTCTCCCGTCCTTAAGGTGCTATTGGGCTCCGTTTTAATAATTTGAATTGTTCATATTTTAGGATTCGTGCGTGTATATCATCTTTGCAAAAAAATTAAGGTGATTGGATAACGGCAATCACGTGTTCAGATCAGTTTTGTATGAACCGTTTATTTCATTCATTTTTTTTTTTTTTTACATAAAACTGATCCACACACGTGGTTATTGTTATCCCGATCAACTTGATTCTTTGTAAAGATAATGTACTCGACGAATCGTAAAATATGAACAATTCAGATAATCGAAACGAAACATAAAAGTGAACTCAATAAGCCCAACAACACCTTCCCAGTCTTATTAAGGACAAGAGAGAGAAACTCAATCCTCTATAATTCATATCTATATATATGGCTCAGGCGAATTGTTTGGTTTCGTCGGATCAATATGGAGTTCACATTGATGATCGTATAAAAAAAAGTAATGAGATGTGATGTAATGTAATGTAATGTAATGTGAATAGGGATGGAAGTGCTATTTATGGGAGTAATGCAGAGAAGTCGGAGAAAGTGAGGACTTTCAAAGATGGGAAGCTAAAAATATCAAAAGATGGCCTTCTTCTTCATGACCAAGATGGTACTGCTCTGTCCGGCGATATTCGTAATGGCTGGGCTGGCCTTTTCACATTGCAGGCCCTCTTCATCCTGGAGCATAATGCTGTCTGTGATGCCCTCAAGGTACTTCTTCACAAATTATAGGTTTCGTTTGGGGAGTGGGTTGGCTTTTTGATTTTTTTAATTTTTTTAGTTTGGAGCTAAAAAGTCTCGTTTGGGAAAGATTTTTAATTTTTTTGGTTTTTTTTTGACTTTTTTATGAGAAAAAGAATATAATGATTATGAGTTGGATGTGATGTTTTGTTTTATTAAGTTAAAAAGCTTATTTTATTTTTTTGTGACTATTTTAACTAAAAAACCTGACTTTTTTCTTCTCAAACGGAGCCATAGTATGCAATATAGCAATATTAAGAGAATCAAGTAACACATATCAAGAGTGATTAAAAAGAAAGAAAGAAAAAGTTGATAATACGCATATGCTTTTTATTACTTATTTATATTAACCCTTGTGTAAATATTTGTAGAAAGAGTACCAGGAGATGGAGGACGAAGAATTATACCGGCATGCAAGGCTTGTGACTTCTGCTGTAATTGCAAAGATCCATACCATTGATTGGACTGTTGAGCTTCTTAAAACTGACACGTTGCTTGCTTCAATGCGTGCCAACTGGTAAAACAAACTTTTCTAATTGAGTTATGCTAGGGATCCCAAACAAATTACCAAATAAATTACCAAACCTCTCACATGGGTGTGGGTCCCACACAAATCACATGTAGGTCCCACACCCATGTGAGAGGTTTGGTAATTTATTTGGTAATTTGTTTGGGATCCCTAGCTTAACTCTTGGGTAAATATATAATTTCAAACTATGAGTGTTACGTTTCAAAAAAGTACACTAAATAATTTTTTAATATTTTTATGGATTATATTGGAGTATTACGTTTGAAATTATATTAATTGGAGTATTATGTTTAGGAGTACACTAAATACTTTTTTTGTGTGCCACATTAGAATATTACGTTTCAAAAAAGTTTAGAGTACTACATTTGAAAAAAGTTTAGAGTGTTACGTTGTTATGTTTGAGAAAAGTACACTGAGAAATTTTTTAATGTTTTACATTGAAATGTTATATTCTTATTTGTAATGTGAGGTTTGTTTCAAAATTAAAAAATAAAAACAAAAATATCTAAAGCCTCTATAGTGTAGATTGTGTAAATGTGTAATTTTATATTTAAAAAAATTCACTTTTATCTCTTAAAAAATTAAATTTAAATATATAAGTGACTACTTGTTCATGTAATTTTCTTTTTAATACGATTTTTAAATTCATAATAAAAATAAAATAAAAATAAAAACAAAAAATTTATAAGACCATATTTTAAAATTTATTAATGTTTCAGCTTATAATTTTTCATAAAATTATCTAGGATTAGAATACAAACTTGCCAGCATTTCCCAAGAACAAAAAGAACAGATAAGGACAGGGATCCTTCTACAATCAAACAATAATGATCGACTTGGACCACGCTGCATTTTTCCATGATCGGTACAGCAGTCGTCGGTCCAATTGTCACGCGCAATTTGACCCTTGTCCTCCTACAAATACTGACCAAAGGTGTTTGGGATTTACTTTTTGGTGGCCTTTTTTTTTTGTCTGTGATCGGATTCAAGATTATAGTAATGCTATGTAATTTGAATTTGTCCTTTCTTGAATCTCTCCTGAAATCAAAACGACATCGTTTGGTCGTTTTGATTTATTTATTTATTTATTTATTTTTTTAAGAAGAAGAAAATCAAAAAAGAAGAAGGAAGAAGAAGAACTGGAAGGGCCAACATCAACCGGGCTGGGCTGCGACGGCCTCGACCCTCGATGGGCCGAGGCGGAGGCACGGCGATCGGCGATCGGCGACGGCCTCGACCCTCGATTGGTGACGGCCTCGACCCTCGATTCTCTTTCTCTCTCTCTTTCTCTTCCTCTCCCTCTTTGCGATTCCTCTCTGCATTTCAGACTGAAGGGAAGAAAAAAAAGAAAAAGGAAACTGCCCAAAATGACGTCGTTTTTGGGCAGTCGAGGGATTCGGGGGGAAAAAATTCTGGGGAAAAATCATTTTTCTAAAGATTATTATGAATTTTGTTTTGATAATTTAAATTATTTAATTCAAGTACTATATACTTGTAAAAAATTGCGTTGATTAAATATCGATCGATAAGTGATCAAATTAGTTCTGTACGGTAAAAAAATAAACAATTGACAGAAATCTGATCCGATGAGATAACTATCGATATCCGATCAACGTGATTTTTTACAAGTATATAGTACTCGATGAGTTTTACACATTGAACAATTCATATTATCGGGCCCAACAGTACCCTCCAATCTGTAATTTGATTGCAGGGAAGCTCAGCTCTTATTTTTTGATGGTCCTTTTTTTTATCTTTAATATTTTTTGAAAAATATAATTTCTTAGGTTTTACTAGATTAAATAGGTTGGAAAAATAAAAAATAAACAATTTTTTTAGAAATGACAATAAATATATATATATATATATATATAAACTAAATTCAAAGCACAATATGTAGTAAGAAAAATAAAATTTTGACATAATTAAAAAAATAGAAGAAATTATGTGACTTTTTTAGGTGTATGTCAAATATCCAAAATTCCACTCAAAAGAAATCCCAGCTTGCAAAACTTTGATTTTAAATTTCAAAATGTTTATTTATTTATTTTTTAAAATTTTCTTTTTTTTTAAAAAAAAGTTTTTAATGTTTCTTTAATCTAAATATACATTTAAAAGGTAAAATATTAGTTAATAAATATAAAAAGAGTACATTTTCAATTTAAAAAGAGTAAAATTGAAATGAGAGAGAGAGAGAGAGTACATTTTCAATTTTTTTTTTCTTTGTATTTAGTAATTTTATTAAAAACAAATAACTAGAGATGTTAAAAAGCAAAAAAAAAAAAATTCATAAAAAAGTCAAAGATTTCTTTCAATTCATTATACTTTTTGCACCTTTTTCTTTTTTATTTTTTTTAAATTTATAAAAACCCAAAAAATCTTTTCCAAATATATTCACCTTGTTTCGTTTTAATTTTCTGAAAATTAATTTTTTATTTTTCATTTTTTTTTTTGTTCATGTCATGTTTTTTTTTTTTATATAGTATTTTTAAAAATATTTTAATCAAAAAATTTACTTTTTAGATGCACCTAACCTAAATGTATCTAAAATTAAAATATTTTTAAAAATCAATAAATATACAAGAATACGAAATGGAGCTTTTTTGATGAATCCACTTTCTAAGAGCTTTATTCCATCCAAACCATATTCTTTTTTACTATTCCATTAGGTCCTATTTGAGATAAGAAGACCAAAATACCCTTTTCATCTACTTATGTTTCATTTAGTTCACAGTATTTTCTTATGTTTCATTAAGTCTTATGGGTGACATAATTACCAAAATACCCCTAATATGAATGTTCACACTGTCAATGTGAATGTTCATATCGTCAATATGTAGGGGCCCGACCCATGTCGATCCTTGTGGGTGCCCGAAAAAATTTGAGTCGGGCCGGGACGGGCCCGGCTCATTGACAATGTGAATATTCTCATTGACATGTTAACATTCACATTAATAGGAGTGTAAAATTGGCAATGTGAATATTCACATTGACATA